CAACAACCCAGAAGACAGAAATCTTCATACTCTGATGACGGAGGCAGTATGACCTCTGAAACGTTGGTTAGCATCGACCAGACTACACAGCGCAACAACCCAGAAGACAGAAATCTTCATACTCTGATGACGGAGGCAGTATGACCTCTGAAACGTTGGTTAGCATCGACCAGACTACACAGCGCAACAACCCAGAAGACAGAAATCTTCATACTCACCGCTGTGAGAACCTCAAGTCTTACAAAGTTTAAGTTGCCATACCACCTTACAAACTTTACTTTTTCTGTATATGCAGCACTGCTGACTTCAGAAATGCCTTCCTGAAGACAGTCCGGCAGATCATCAGAGAAAGTGTGCGGAATATGAGCATCCCAGCTACAAAGCCAGGCACGAGTACAGGTACAGAGGCATCAAAGTTTATAAAGTATTACAACTCATATGAATCTTCAGTTATTGCCAGCGGTTCTCAACACAAATACATTGGAAGCTGATAAGGCACAGTTCTTGCGGACAAATTGTTAATATTATTTATTGTAGCGACGCTTCAGATGCAGTGTTATAAATAATGGCTAGGCTGTCAATCCTATACAAACAATAACATCTTTAACCCATATTTCAACTAAAATATAAAACATGTAGACTGGATACGGAAGAAAGTAGTTCTGTTGTAATGCAAGAGAAAATGACAATCTATATGTTTGAATTAAAGGAGGAGACTTATCAAGGATTCAACAGGCCATTGTGTTGAAAAACAGCCTGTAAAGTTTATCCGCTGTGCTCCTCTGTCATAAATATTTCCAGACAGTGACAACAGTTAGTACGTAAGAATTGGCATCCTTATTAAATTCTATAAAAATGTTATTTTTTGTAAGTTGGGTGTTCATAATTCAGGGACTTTGTTCTAAAGATTTGAAAGTAAAGCTGTCCCACTAAACGCAACGCAGACACCTGCGGGAGAGGAGGTATAGCTCCTACTTCTTCTTGACCTCAACATTGGATGGGGGGGGCGAGAGGTCAGACTCATGCCCCTGCCATACATTACCCCTGATACCCATTGGATAGGAGGCTAGGTCGGCCCCAGGGCCTGTCTCGATGCAGGGGTTAGAAGAAATATCTTTTGTCCCTGTTAGGGATTGAACCCTGGTCATTCAGCCTGTGGTCAGACAGTACTCACTGATCTACCTCAACTCCAGTTCTAAGGATATAATCTGCATATTTCAAATGAAGGTACATAATGCTTATGCTAAAATACATTTTTGAAGAAAAATTAGATTGTTTAGATATAGTGTAATATTATGTTGGTATTACATCATGGATGGTAAATAACTTACTGTGATCACAGCAGTAAGACTTATGAGAATACAGTGAAACCTCGATGCATCGTTTTCGGCGGGGGGGGGAAATAAAAACGATGAATGCGGGAAAATGATAGATGCGGGAAAGCATTAAAAATTTTAAAAAAAAAACAATGTTTCTCTTTCAAAGTTACTTCTTTTTACCAAAAAAGTCTTTTATGGACAACTGGTTTGTCGAAACTTTACGTTTTAGACCAAACAGAGCACTTTCCACGTTCAAAATGTTTTCTTCGTCACGTTCACTAATATTAAGCGCATAAAAGAACGACTTCACTTTCGCCAATGCAGCGTGTGCTTCGGCAAAACTCGGCAAAGCTTCGGGCTCGCATTCGTCGTCTTCCTCTTCCTCACCACTCCCACCCTCTTCGCGAACAATAACAGGAAGAATGGAAATACTATTACTGACGAACTCAACGAAACGTAGCTGTAGAAGACCCTGAACGGCTGGAAACGAGATGAACCAGAAGAATGAAAAGTGCCGCCAGCCTTTCCTTTGTACTTATAATAAAAGCATTTGTGAAGAAATTCACACTGCACATGCCATCTGGCATCGCTGGAACGAAATATGAGTGCACCCTAATTAAAATCGTAAAATTTCTGACAATGGGCACCGCCATTCACTCCAACTATCACCCCTGCACCGCTGACCCTCATTCCAAAAGAATGTGCTGGTTGGGCGACATAACAGGTTACCGCTACTGTTTATTCCAAAAACATTGTGCGTCTTTCGGTATTAATTTATCTCTAAACCCAGCATTTTAAATTCTCAGAAACGATCATTGCGGGAAAATTGTGGGCCGGGACTAAGATTTTTGAACGATCGATGCGATAAAACGATAGTTCGAGGAACGATAGAAGCGGGAAAATGTAACATTATTTTTTATGGGATGTATTCGGGACCGAACAAAACGGACGATGCATCCGGGAAAACGATAGTTCCGGGAACGATGGATAGAGGTTTCACTGTACTGATCTTGACAATTTGTAGTAAATAAAAATTCTGTAGATACTTACTTTCAGTCTGCAGATCATCTACAGTGGATATTGTTTTTATCTTGCAGGTATAACAACGGGTGGTACTACCACGTCATCTGCAGGTAGCACGAAAACATCCAGTGAGAATGTGCCAACAACAAGCAAAGGCATTGTGATCCTCCAAGGCTCACACACTCTGGGGAAACCTAAGAAACCGCCAAAAGGAACTCAGAGGCATTCTGCAGGAAACATTGATTATGACAACCTGGACACCAGCAGAGACTCTGCAGAGGACATTGCACACGCTGGTAGTGGCAGCTTCAGATCAAGAAGTAAAACTGTTAGCGATGGGACAGGTAGGTGCACTTTTCGACAAACCGTATGTGGTTTAGAGCCGAACATGATGGTTAACATTTCTGTTTTTTCCTTCAGGAGGTTTCTTGTTTCATTCATAGCTTAAAATTCAGCTGAAAGAATTTAAAATTCACCGAGTTCAAATTGCATGAGAATGTGACCACCATCTGCTGCATAATGAAAATCAAGGTCTAGTGTACGTTCAATCCTGAGAATTGCGGGTGGAGAAAATAAGAAACGAGACATAAAAAATTGTCCGTGTTATGAATTGGAGATGAGCCGGGATAGCTCAGTCAGTATAGTGACTAGCTACGGGCTGGACGACTGGGGTTCGATCCCCGACGGGGGCAGAGGATTTTTCCTCTAGCCTCTGCGTCCAGATCGGCTCTGGGGCCCACCCAGCCTCCTCTACAATGGGTACCGGGGTCTTTTCCCAGGGGTAAACCCGGGCGGGGCGTGATTCTGACCACTCACCCCCATCTAGTGCCGAGGTCAAGGAAGAGAGGAGCTATACCGCCTCTCACCCCAAGCGCCTACATGGCGTATAGTGGGACAAACTTTACTTTACTTTATGAATTGAAGAGAGTGTTGATGGAGTGGTTTGAAGGAATATGTTAAGTGAGTGGACTGATTAGTGTCAAAATAATGAAAGAGAAGGTTATCAGATTAACCATGAAATTGTGGATTGATAATTTCAAAAGTTTCCAACAGAGATTAGAGAGGTTTAAGAAGTGTCATGAGATTACATACTATGTGTGGGTAGAGTTTAGACACTGTTTAATATTTTAAAATGGAATCATTGCCAAGGCATGTGAAATAATAAAAAACAAAAGACAAATTTAATGCTGATGAGACTGCCATCTCCTTCAAATGCCTTCACTTTCTTCAAGAGGAAAACCAAACCATAGAGGGAAGAAGGGCAAAGAAAGGATTAATGCTCTGCTGTGTGCAAACTCAGATGGAAATAGAAAGTCGTCCGTAGCAGTGGGAAAATATGTCAAGCCAAGATGTTTTAAGCATATATGGACATTGTCACACGAAACATTTTTTTAATTTTATATAGTGATCACTCAGTTAGAGTAATTACTACATTAAATTATATAAAACTCAACCTCGTAAGGTGGCAACAGTCAGTTTGATGCATTACTACTACATAGTTCTGATTGATCTCTTGTAAATTCCAGACAGAGAGACCATCTTCTGCAATTCTTCATACAAACAGTCACAGCATAAAAATCACAGTTAATGTTTTAATACTGTAAAGAGAGGGGGAAAACTGTGTAAGAAAGTATGAAATCTTATTTTCTAAATTATGTATACTTCATTTAGTGTTTTGTCATGCCAGAAGATATCACACCACACCGGCCTGACAGCGATAAGAACTGTGACCCAGGCAGCAAGTCAGAGGGCGAGGAGGATTCACAGAGCAAGGGGAAGGCAACGCTAGGACGTACGCCAAACCACCTGAGCCTGAGCACCACCTCAACTCTTTCAGCAGGCAGCACTGGCAGTCAGGCCCGACTCATCCAGTCGTCGCATCAGCCTGAGAACTATCAGCCCACTGCAGTGAAGGACCTAGGTAAGCCAACCTGCATGCAGTGCTACCTTTCGGGCAACTACAAGACTGAGTGAACGCGCCCTCCTGCTCCTAACCGATTTCAACGACCATTACAAGGAAGCTCAACTGTTGCTCAGCAGCGAGGTAGGTGCTTCAAGTGCCTTTGGGGCAGGATGTATGTTGTCGGAACGTCAAACAAAATTACTAGTCTACGGGTCTGCCAGCCGTCATCTTCTAGCTACATTTGTGATAGGGTGTTTCAGTGGTCCTGTATTAATATTATAATACCATTGGAACTGAAATTACGCTCCTCTGTATCATGTGGTGCTCAATTACATCAGCAAGACAAAATATGGTGCTAACGGCATAGACTAGAATTATATTTCGTGATAGTTTCCTGTTCATGTGTCTGTAAGTTTTATTTCAGGGTATACCATAATGTTCACCTTTTCCCTGCACAACTTTGGGTGAGTTTTCTATGCCGTATTGAAAATAATGCGTGTGTAAGATCACGAACACATGCATTATTTTTACCCAGCCATAAGTCAGAATTTTTTTACTTTTATTTCCATGCAAGAAGGAAAACTGCACAGATTAAACTCAATTCAAGTTTCTACGAAATTATGAGTATTGTCGCACTTTCGTTATCATTGCCACCGTACGCACCCACAGTTCATCCAGTTCCATATAAACTATTAGCTCTGCTTTTTATGTACATTCCATAATGATGCAGTATTCATCTCATATGGTTACATATTTACATCTTCACTTCTACTGTACCAAAGAGAATGATGATGTAGAACACAAATTTTAGAAGCAATCAATACTCTGAAGTCCACCATAGTGGCCACATGTGGCTTAGTTTGTGGGCGTGCAATCTGATTGATGGAAACTGATTTAATTATATAGTATTAGTGAAATATTGAATAATATAAGTTATATGCATTTTATTTTATTTTGTTAACTGTGCCTGTTCAACAGAAGTCTACTAAATCATGTCATGTGACCATAGAGACAATGTAGGAGCAAGATGAATTCATGCCGCATATTTCTTTCGTTCCCACAAAGTGCACGTGCTGCCAGTTTTAAATTCACAGTTATTAGGCGCGCACTTAAGAACAGCACAAAATGTTTAGTGATGAGTGATGGGGCAGACAACTACCAATTACCAGAAAAGCGTTCTGTGGTCTTGGTGCCTACCCACCTGCAGTAGATCATAACTGCAAATCTGTCTAGCAGAATGTGTTCAGATTCTTGTGCTTATTTTGTATCATAGCTAGTAGTGTTAGAGAGGGCGATATCTTGCGGATAGAAACCTGCTCTCCTAGCAACCTCAAGGCTCAAAAGGGTGAAGTGAATTTTTAATTTTAGAATTTAATTTTTCTTTGTTCCTGAAATAATTTTTGTATCAGCTTTCAAACTTGCCACTACTAAATAAATTAAGTCTCTCATTGTTAAAGAACAGTTTCTTGTATTCTTGCTCACTCCTAAGGGAGCCATAGTAGGAAACTGTCTTCCCACCAAAAATGTTGAAGCAGGCTCTTCGAATATGCGTGTGAAGAAATAGAGTAAGCGCAGTACATTATTGATGACTAAAAGTCAGAACCATAATATCATACTGAAGTGTGTATCTCAGTTCTGCAGTGACAGATTTACAGTGGCATCACAATGCGCCAGTTGTTCATAGAACTTCATACAGAAGACACCAGAATTAACTAGGTATTTGTTTTCCTACATACCCAGATAGTCAGGAATAATAATGCTCACTGAAAGCTTCCAGAATCATGTGTAGGAGCCCTCCACAGGACAGGGATGTTACTACAGAACAGGTAACATCTTGAGGCGACACACAACCAAACAGCTTGAAATGTCATTAATTAGCCTCCATAATGAACAGGACTTATTGCCATATTTAATGGCATAATTATCAACTTATTCTTCTTGTAATACTGTAGTTAAAATTTCCAATCAAAAGATTACGTGAAAGTTGATAAACCAGCTAGTTGTGGAAAATTTTCAAACACTTAGTGTACCCGACGATATTACAGGTACACATTTGTCTGAAAAACGACAAGGACATCATTGCTTCTCATTTCAGTACTTCACGGCTCTATCATTTTAGTCATGTAATTTCTTGCACGGTAGAAATGCAAGGAATGTGGTAATAAATTTTCTTTTCCTTATTTAAACATTTAAAAATAAGGGTGTGCGAATAAAATAGTGGTGAGCAATATGACAGTACTGTGGGTATCTAGCCATCGTTATTGTATAGCAAAAGTAGCGGCTAAACTAGAAAGTAGTAATTTTTTTAGAGGATAAAAAATTGTCTTTGGTAAGTAAGGTGCATGCTGTGTGTTCAGGCTCTTCTTAAGGTGGCGACTGACTTGTAACATTTACTCGTAATGTAACATTCGCGGCGAGCATGTTACATTACACCACAACTGGTGAGGCGTATCGAATGCTCGTTTTGAACGCTCGGCTCGACTGTGCTC